TTAAATAGCCTCATCAGTGTACAGGTTTTTTTTCTTTGTTTTAGGTTTTGAGGGTTTTTTTTTAAAAGCAATCTCAGAGTAGCTCTTTGGAAAAGATGTGGTTGAAGTTATGGGATTACCTTGTGTGAAAAAAGGTGTCTGGTTAGAAGTGGAGAATGTTAGGAGTTTCTCTTAATGATAGTTTATCAGTTTTTCCTTAGCTAAATAGTCAGTGAAAATTCAGAATTAGGAAACACTATATAAAGCAAATGTAACTGGAAAATTTTTATTATAGTGAAAAATCTATTTAATATTAAGTCAAATAATTTGTTTAACCACACTTTCATTGGCTGTGACTTTGATTTTCCTGTATTTAAAATTTTGGCACCATATGCTAAACTGTCTTACACAATGCCATTGGTTATCTGGAAAAGATAAATCTGCTCATTGATTTCCTAATTTTATTATGTGCACAGTTAATTGTAATCCAAGATTACAGCAAACAAGATGTTAATTTCTAGACAACCTATGTACATTTCCCTCGGAGTGTGATTGTTACAGAAGCAAAGAACACAAAGAGAATACCATTTGTGCTATCCCACAGGAGCTGTCAATAAAAGATGTAATAGGGGATTTAGGAATCTGGAAATGGCCAACTAATTTATGTGAATCTATTTTATTTCAGCTAGAAAGACCAAGCTCTGTTTCGTCTGCACTGCATATTGCAGAGCACAGGCTGTCTATAGAAAACCAGGCGGCTGCATATGGATAGTCCCTTGATATCATTCACTTGCTGTGTAATCTTATTATGCAAAGTTCTAATCTTCACCTAGAATGAATGCCTCTGGGTCAGAATATAGTCATATCAGGGTTTTTGAGGTCATGTTTTGTGATCCTTAGCTTATTCTTCTAAGTAGGGCTGGGATTTAAAGAGTATTCCCCAGACACTAGCAGAGATAGATGGCAAAACCTGCTGCCTTTTTGGAAGACAAGACCAACATGAGGTCCCTGGTAGGATTAAACTTGATTTGTAGCTGTAGGATTTTTTAACAGATGTATTATTGGACAGGGAATAGGGGGCCACCAGCACAGCGAAATTGGATCACGATTGGCATTCTCAGGGAGTCCGCTGGCTGCTAAAACAGCAGCTGCATGTGGATTTGACTTCTTTCAGGTGAAGCGACTTCCAGTCATTTGGAAAGGATGGGATGAAAAGGAACCTTGGTGATAATTTTGATGTCTGCAAGATTTAGTACCAATGTAATGGGATTATCGGTAACACCTTCACTGCAGAAAAAGCCACCTGGCGCTATAACTGGCAGCAACTGAGAACTAATCCTTTCCCATCTCTTGGATGTCATTCATGAGGCTCAAAGTGATTTCCACCCTGCTAGCTGTGATTAATTTTATAAACAAACAAACAAAAAAAAAAATCAAATGATGAAGGCATAGGCTATGTAAGGAAAAGGGAACAAAAGATCATAGTAATTACATTTTGCATTTTATTTGCTGCAGGGGATAAAGTATACAGTTCTGGAAAAATAACCATATTGTATTCTACATGATAAATAAGGATGTGTAACCTTTTTTAATTAATGTCTGTTTGATATAAAAACAATGTCCATTTCAGTATAAAATTTTTAGGCTACCAAGTATATGATAGCAAGTAGAACCTGGAAGTAATTACAACAGGTTTTATGCTGTTAGTTCTGCGATAAGGATGTTTATGTAACAGATCCATTAAGTTTTCAAGGGGCCTGTGACTTAAATAATTTGTTTTATTGTGCTTAATGGTCTTATGCTGTATCTGGTGGAGTTGCCTACTGACAGCGCTTTGTATTAAAATTGTGTGATGTGGAAAAACGCTCAGCCATTTACCTTCTTGTGATCAACAATATGGCATTGTTTTAAAAATGAACTGATAAATAGTGTTCTGATGAAACAATTATATTTTACTGATGCTTAAGCTAGAGCAATTGTAACAATTGTAAGATAAATATTCTGTGGGATTTTTTAAAAATAAAATAGAGTTGTTTGTTTTTTTGACTTACTCTTAATACAACCATTCACTTTATTAACTAGAAGTTGTTACTTAAACCTACATGGGAACTTTCAGTGTTCTGGTTATTCTGTGGAATGAACATTAGATTTCTAAAGATGGACCTTAATGTTAAAAACAAAACCCCCAATCCTCTGAAGCTACCTTGTTAGGTTCAAACCGTGTATAATCTAGGGGCTTATATATATATATATGCCTTAATTGGAAATAAACTTGAGTGGTAATAAAAACTCCTTTATATAAGAGCTAAGATTTTTTTAATCGTTATCATGAACATCTGATAAGCCTGAGCATTTAAAAAAGTCCATTGTGCCACATTCATAAACTAGAACTGGTGAAATCCATGTCTCTGGGGTTAAGGGTTTATTTTAAGAGAACTGGGAACAAAATTTGAGACCTCTTCACTCATCTTCTATCCTCAGAGTTAGTTTTATACCATGACAGCTCTAGTGTAATAACTTACAAATCTACCCCTCCTTATTTAGAGTTACTCAGAGACATCAGAGAAACAAAATGAGTTCAGTGTAACTGTTGGGAAGTCCACATCATCCAGAGTCTAACAGGACATCAGCTGCAATCAGCTTGAAACTTATTTTCAGAGACATACAGCAGTTGTTTGTAGTTTCATAATTAAAAAAAAAAAAATACTTAAAGCCTGATAGCTGTTGGCACAAGAGGTTTTACGTTTTCTCTTAATGATTTTGTGGTTACCATTTTATTTGGTGCTGTCAACAATATCTAGCTACTCTAGTCAATGTAACACCATGTTTATACAATTCCTTTTTACCTGTAGTATCCACAGGTGCCTGAATTCTGTACTGTATTAATATATTAATATAAATTTCTGAGTAGTGTGGATCTGGAATACAGGATGGTTGTGCAGTATATTTCTGTCTGCCTCAACTGCGAAGCAATGTGAGGCTGCCTTTCTAGCAGATGCTGGTAAGAAGTACTGATGATGGACTTCTCTCAACAGATAGTTGTGGTCATTAATTCACACCAGTTGTGCAACTCGGATCAATCTGCTGTCACTCCATCTTCCTTTTACCAGCAGTAACACACTTCTGGGCTCACAGTGTTTCTGGCCCTGAGAGCAAGGAGTTGGTCCATGCTTTTCATACTGGGTATGCAAAAGCAAACCACTTTTCTGGCCCTCCAGAATAAATTCTGCTGAAAGCTCTTCCAGTTTCTGCAGCGTGTCCTGCAGTGTGCTGGGTGCTAAGAAAAGCAAGCCATTTTTGTGGCCCTCCAAAATAAATTCTGGAGAGCTGAAAGCTCTTCCAGGTTCTGCAGCGTGTCCTGCAGTGTGCTGGGTGCTGCACGTGCTAATGAAACAATTCAAGACTTTTCTGTTTTCTGTTGTATTTTGGGTCATTACTGTGAAACCTGTTAGCTAATATTAAGGATGATGAATCACAGCTTGGTTTAAGTGGATTTCTTCTGGAGATGTTTTATGAAAAACAAAAAAACCCAAACTTTTTTTTTTAAATGTAAAATTGAGCTTGGCAGAACACATTTTCCCCCAAGAATGGTTGTCTTTTTTCTGTATAAGTAAAAACTAAATGCAAAGAACAAAAGCCACTTTTGACTGTATTCTGGCAAAATTCCCTTTAACTTCTGGAGAGAGTTGTGCAAGTAAAGCTAGGCACTTTGAAATTACTGTATTTAAATAGGAAAAGGTCATGCACAGAGTTTTTTCTTTTTAACTTAGCTGCATTTGTTTAGCAAAGCTGTGTTACCCCATCTTAGTAAATGGAGGAAGTCTTGCTGTGGTTTTAGTTCATGATACTGAATTTAAGGGGACAGGTTTCTTGCAGAATATTAAACTTGCTTCAGTTACTTCAGAATATGTTTTCCACTTCCTTAAGAGACATATATATATATGTATATGTATGTGTGTATATATATAAAATATCTTAAAAATTGGGGTAAGGAAACATTTTAGTTAGGTTAGCATTGCAGGAATTGCATCTGATCATCAGAGTTTGACTTAAATATTTGGAGGAGTGGGTCAGAAAGTATTTACAGTCTTATGTGCTGCAGAACTTGCACCGCTGTACTGGAGCTGAGAACAGAAAGACACCTAATGCCTTATTTTTATATGCAAGTGTTTTGGTAATGAAAGTAAGGAAAGCTCTGCAAAAAGCTCCAGAATTCCTATCAACAATTTTATTATTTTTCTAGTATAGTCTTACTTAGGCAAGCCATTCAGGACTGTAATCCTTACTTTTGTCTAGTTTGTCAAGCCTTTTAAAATATGATTGATTGTAAGGTCGCTTTTAAAGTTTTGGTTGACTACTTGATTACTCCAGTTTTCTGTGAATGTAATTTCAGTTGTGAAATATCTTCAGATCAGTTTAGATGGTTTGATGCTCCTCTGTTTTGCTGTTGAGTGTTCAGTTTTAAATACTAGTGCTTAAAGTGTTATTTAATAAACAACTGCATCTGAGTTGCAATTCATGGTCCAGTCAGGAAGGTCAAAGTCTGTGTAGAAAGGCATGATCACAGCTTTCCAGGTTCCATTCAGCCAAACCTACTGGAGGGGGGGATGTTCTCCTAACTATTGCAGATATTTAGACATGTGGCAGGTACACCTGTCTGCCATCCTGACTAAAATAACCCAGCTGAGTCAGTGGAGAGCACTGGCTCTCTTCTTTCCCATTAATTTCTGTAGTTTGGACAAGACTTCTTTGTTTCAGTTCCTATCAACTGAATTTCACTAATAAGCTGGTGAGAGGAGTCCATTGATTGTACATGTGGGAGGGTCTGCATAGTAAATTAAAAACTTCTTGAGGAAATTTGAGTTTAAGCTACATTCATCTCCTCAGATATAAAATTATTTGTTGGTTTTATTAATTTTTTTTTAAATATTGTCCATCAGATGTTAGATATGACAGATAGTTTTGTAAATGTTAGGTTGTTTGTTATCAAATGAATGATATTCTTTTGTTTTACTGTAGACTAGAACCAGCTGAACGACGTAACTGTACCATGCTTCGCAATGTCCTAGGAAAAACCTTTCGATTTCTTGGGTATACTGTGCAATATGGCTGCATAGCACATTGTGCCTTTGAGTACCTTGGAGGAATTGTTGTGGTAACTTTTCATTTTCATGACATTTAAAAGAAAATAAAACTATAGTACTGAAATTGTTATATGTGATAATGCAAATATTTTGGGTTTCTTCATTTTCTTTAAAGCTTTTTCAAAGTGTGTTTAGTAAATGCCTATTTTTTTGGAGGCAGGTCCAGCCTTTACAAAAGTTATTTCTACTTCAGGCATTTGTAATTTTTGCTAAGTTATTGCTTGAGGCATCATTGAAGCAAATGGGAAACTACGATTAAGCATTTTGCAGAGAGTATGTTCTTCCAGAATGCCCGGAGTCACTAATAATGCCATAGGAAATGCTCTTTTTTCCAAGTCTGCAGATTTCTGGGTGTTTTAGGCTCCCTCCTCCCCAGGCTCTAAACCTGGCAGATACTGGACATAAGGGAGTTTGGCTGTGAGCTGCTCTTGCAGCTTCTGTGATGGTTCTCTTTCACAGAGGCTGAAGGAAGGGGTAAGCTGGCAGAGCTTTGAGTCCTGCTGCTAATCATTCCCTGCAGGTTGGGTGCTGACATGAATCCGCAGGCGCTCAGCACCCAGCGCAGGTCAGGACCAGTCCTGAGCTGTAACAGTTAGAGGCACTCCGGAGTCTGTTCACATTTCAAATGTATCAGATGTTCCTTGGAGGATCTCACTTTTTAAATTGTTCTTTACATTATACCTTTTCTAATTTATTAGCAAATATTTTGAATGTTAATATATTTTAGATAAAAGTAACTGGAAATAGTAATTTTTTCTCATTTATTTTTAATTTGCAGTGTGCTGGACCTTCAATGGAACCAACCATTCAAAATTCTGATATTGTCTTTTCGGAGAACCTTAGCCGCCACTTTTATTGCATTCGAAAGTACGCTCCTTTGTTCAGACTAGATTTTACCTTCTGTTTGCCAGAGTTTGTCGATAACCACATTCTATCCATCCTTTATTTTTCATATATTCTTCTCCTTCTAAATTGTAATTTTTCATAGATCTCCTCTTATGATGTCTGATGGAAGTTAATCAGCACATACAGCCCATCAACCAACTTGTCAGATTTGTTTAGGATATAGTCTGTGACTTTAACAGCTTTGCCCAAAAAATGGAAAAATTCCCTCTTTTTTTTTCCTTTTGCCCCCCAAACCAGCTCTCTTGTGTGAATGTCACATCTCTCCAGTTTTCTCTTACTTGCAAACCAAGCTGTAGGTACTGCTGTGCTCTGATAGGGTGTTAGGAAAGAGACCAAACGGTGTAAGTACCATTTATCAAATGTCATTTCACTCCTGTATTGTAGAGCACAGTAGGCTGAAGGCCCTCACCTATTTTGTTGTGGACTGTTTCACCGTACAATCTCATATGAATAGCCAGGAGGCAAAAGTAATATAAGTTCTTACAAACTCAGATTAGACATTTGAAGTTTCACTGAAAGAATAACATTTGGACAATAACATCTAGGAACACAGACTCTTTCCTGTATCTGTTTATCAACAGGATCAAGTTACATGGCATTCATTTCATCAGAGCATTATCAATTAAAATGTAGTCTTAAATACTTTATAAATTGTCTAAATAACAAAGAATCTTTCAAAATGTACTTAAAAAAAAAAAAAAGTTAAATTACACCCCGAGTAAAACCAAAGAAACTAAAATTGTAGATAAGAATTTTCAGCAGAAGGAAGTATCTTTAATGTACGTGAATATTTTTGGAGTATACACTTTGATGCACATGTATTCAGCCAAATAGGGTGTACTTAGAGTTCTTCTGTTTGTTTTTGTTTCTGTTTTTTCATCTCAGAGGAGATATTGTAATTGTGAAAAGCCCAAATGACCCCAAAACAAATATCTGTAAAAGAGTAATTGGCTTGGAAGGCGATAAAGTCTGCACAAGCAACCCTTCAGATTTCCTTAAGAGTCACAGCTATGTAAGTATTAGAGTTTCTTGCTTTGTAAATTAACGATTACTTAAGTAGGCCTGGTAGTCTGTAAAGGATTTGCAGTATTTGAGTATCATAATAAATCATAAAGTATGGCATTCATAAATTATTCTTTCTCCTTGTATATGTACAGTAAAATATTGTAATTTGTAAACTCTGTTTATGGCAAGCTGTCTTTCTCTGTCTTTTGTCTCTGTAGGAAGTGTAGGCAGATATTTTTGCTCTGCCCTTTGCTTAAGTCTTCTTCCCTGGAAAGATACACTCAAATTCTCTGCATAAAGTGCAGTACAGATGGCAGACTCAAGGGCTTGGTCTTAAGGCAAAACTGTTTCTGTATTTTAAACACTAAGAAGTGAAAATTTTGTCTCTGCAATAGCCCTGAGGATTTTGCTTTCAAAGTTAACACTTCTGTCACTTGTGGACTGAAAGCAGGAACTCATTCTCTGTTATGTTTTGAAGGGGAGGACAGAGCATTTAGTTTTTCCAAAAATCAAATTGTGTTACCACTTATCCAAGGAAAAAAACTAAAAAACCCCAAAAAACCAAAGGACCCCAAACCTTTCTTACCAAGTTGAAGAAATATTCGAGCTCCTACGGGAGTAGTAATTTAAATGAAATATGGATTTCCCAGAGCAGAATGACCTGAAAGGTAAACCTGTATTCTGTGTACACTGACAGAAGATGCAAACTGAGTTTCTCTGAGCATCTTGTTCCTCACTTGTCTTCGTCTTGAAAAGGAAGTTCAAGAAAGATTAGTACTTAATAGGATGTCAGCCTTTCTGGAAACCCTGAGGTAATGAAATGAATATCCAGCAGAACAATTTCTGCCCTAGGTGCAAGATTTGTTGTCTTCAATTTTAATACAAAACATAAGGAGAATGAGAGGATGAAGGATGCAGAGTCCATTTCCTGTTTTTCTTAGTTCTTACATCATAACTTGTATCTAGGAAGAGAAGTGGTCTAAGTGAAAATGCTTTTGTTTGTTAGTGCATATCTGTTTTCCTCCTATCTTTAGTGGTTGTTGAAGAGGTAGATCTTTCCATCTGTTCAGGAGACACTTCCTTTACAGAAGAGTATATTCTCAACATAGATATCTGTGCTTTATTTATAGTCCTGACTTACACTGGATTTATTCACTAGGTAAATTGTTCTTGTGGGGGTGGGAAAAAGTGACATGTGTCTGTCTTTAGGTCATTGATCAGATTCCTTATTTTAGTGAATTGCTAAGTGCTATGCATTTTTTCTCTTAATTCAGACACAAAATTCTTCAAAGCAGATGTGCAGAGAACTGACTGTTGGTTTTGTTGATACTTCCTTGAGAAGAATTAATCTGACTCAGGTTTTTGAAAAAAAAAACAACCAAACAACCAGAAAAACCAACCAAACAAAAGATTGTTGAAACTGAGGAAAGGGCTTGGCTAGGGTCCCAAAAGGCCACAAGTGCTGCCTGGGGTGTCTGCTGCCAGAGAGAGGTACAATTGCAGTTACTCCTTAAGTGAGCAAAGCCTAGAAATTGTCATGAGTTTTGTTGTTTATATTAGGCTACTAACTTCTTTTTTTAAAATGAGAAATCTCTGAGTGATACTTGAATGCAGTGACTGGTAAGTGTGTGAGGTCAGAGGATTGTTTGTTTTTATTGTGGCAAACTGCCCAGCTTTCCTTGACTACCTTGTATTCTGTTTTGGGGAGTGACAGTGAATAGTTACTGTCATGTTTGCAAACTTAGTACTGTAAACACAAAGTATCAGATGCCAGAAATATTACCAGAGTAGGTGGTTGGAACCTCTGCTTCATTCTTTGCTGCTGTTTGCCAGTTGATGGTTAGTGTTAGGAGTTAGCTGGGTACTGGAGATGGCAGAATAGCGGCAGTGCCGCGCTGAACAGCCCAGAGTGAAACTGCCTCTCAGCAGCTGCTTCTCTTGTCACCCCAAAAGGAGAATCCTTAGAGTCATGTTGGTAGGGATTGTGCTTAGTATGTGCCCACTGTGCCAGTGTTAGTGTTGGCATATTTTATAGATTTTAAGCTAAGGATTTTGTGCTTAGAAACATTATCATACATGATTCTTATTCTGAAGCCTAAGAGAATGCTAAAACAGATCCTGCTTCCAATCCTGTTTCATTCATGAATATACTTCTCAAGATGGCTTTTGTATATAGATAGGAGAATGGAGAACTCTGTGTACAATTCGCTCTCTGTAAAATTACACAGGTGAGATACTTTATTGCTGCAAACCACTGGGTAGATACCTGTAGATTAAAAAAATAAAAAAACCCAACAAACCAACCTTTCTAAGCTATAATAAAAATGAAAAAAAAAAAATCATACATAAGTGGAATAAGTTGTTCTGAAAAGAGATATTTCAGTTGAGTAGAAATGCAGTAGAGCAGTAGCATTTATGTGAAAGTCTTTATAGTGGTATAAAAATACTTTTGCTGCTAGACTTAGCTGAAGTAATACATCATATGAGAAAAATTACTTTTTTCAGAGTGGACTAAGTGTAAGGCTGTACTAAAAAAACTGTCTTTGGAGTCATTGTTGGATTACAAACTGATGGAACTAATCCCACATATCCAATTTATTGGTGTAAAATAAGCACCTGCTTAAATTAAAATTTAAGTACATAAGGAACATCTTTACTTTGGACCCTTTATGGTACATGATGCTTCATATGCTAGAGATTGGAGCTTATCTGCAAAACAATAATGAGGGAAATCTTCCTATTTACATGGCAAGTGTAATGAAATTCTTTTTTTGAGTAAGTTACTATAGTATTACAAAGTTAGGAAAATGACTTTTATTTTTAAATTGCCTTTTTACTGATATTTGGTATGGAATATGAGCATTAGGCTGGCAGTTTTGCTGGGCTCTTTTTTGGTTTTGTGCTCATTGATGGTATTTATAGATATAAGCAAGTGTATTTACTGTAATAAACATTTAAGAATGTGTAACACAGTTTTACTGTAACAGAAGCAATGTGGTATGAACCCAAAAGTTAAAAAGGTAGACCGCTAATCTTTAGTAATCTGGTATTTGGACCTTGTTTCAATTATTAAAAAAAGTCTTTACTGATTTATTCTTTAAACTGTAAGATCTAAGTAATGAGGGTTAATAAGGAAATTACTTAATCACAGAAACCCCCTGAAATGGTCTTTTAAAAAAACACCTAAAAGTTTAATTTTCATATTTAGGTTTTTGATTTCCTGTTTTTATAAGCCTTAAAACAGATCCAGGTTTATAATTCAGATTGAGTATCCTATTGTTATATTTAAATTTGGTTTAATGCCATTTACTTTAGCTTTAATTTCTTTAGTACCATATGTTCTTGTGCTGCAGCTCCTATTTACAAATCGAAAAAGTGAGGGGGTAAGTCATCAGATTAAAACAGCTTGTATGTCGTAAACCACCAATATGCTAAGCCTTTGTGTCACTTAAACAAAAGTAGTGCCTAATAATGTCACTTAATACAGCTAGAGACTGTAAATAAGGAACTGCGTTTTGCAAGTCATAGTGATAAAAAGCTGAGATACAAATCCATATCTCAGCAACACTCTCCGGTAATCAATCACAGCACACCACTAATGCTGCGAGACTGGCTGATGGGGGGGAAGTGTGTTTACCTTGTGCTAAAACGAGGTTCATTGCGGAGATGGCATCTCTGCATCCTGTGGTTAACTCCAGAGCTAACATCATTCCAAAGATAATGTGTCCTACTGTGTTTGCATATCAGAGAAGTAGTCTTACACAGAGCTATTAACTCTTAAACAGTCCTTGTCAAATGCAGTAAGAATATTATGTGGCTACTAAGAATAACATAATTCAATAACATAATGGTGTTAATGTAAGCAACACCATATCCTAATCACTAGACAGTACTACAGATTTTGGATGCACAATGTAAGATGCAGAAAAGTGGTTTGATATTTCAGAGCACTCAATACCATTGGATGGTCTCTTTAAAATATTCTAAATAGCAATTAAAAAGAAAGTTCCCAAAACACTAGTTTTTTCCTTTCACCTTAGTATCTTCATAGCTCATTTACACTCATGGTTTCGTATTTCAGTAATCTTAAGTTTTAATAGTTGCCGATCAGGAGAAATATCTTACTCTTTCTTCTTCTCTTTAGTTCTAGCATTCTAGAGGCTTCAGAGTGATCAGGAGAAATATCTTACTCTTTCTTCTTTAGTTCTAGCATTCTAGAGGCTTCAGAGAAAGTTATGCCATAATTTTAAGCAGCAGGTATGCTAACTGCTGGGAAAAGGAGGACTGATTTGGTGTATTATTTGTTTAGTTTCCAGATTTCTGCAGTTTGCAGATCCCTCTATATCCCAGTACAGAGAGTTTATGACTAGAGCTAATCTTGAATTTTCTAAGAAGTAATTTTAAATAAAAAATCTGATTTGTCAAAACTAAATTATTCAAGGGAAAAGAAACACAACCTATTTCCCAATATTTCCGTGGTTTCTTTTGCTCAAGTGGATTGGTCTTTTTACCTTCACAGTTCTGGTTTTGGTATTTCAAGAACATAGGAGTGGCATGACTTCACACAACAGCACTGGTACTGTTCACCACAGTGTATCCTCATGTCTGTGGAGTTAGGGAGGTGGGTGGGCAGACGTGGGCATGCCCGCACCATAGCTCAGGCTGAGGACAGCGGTGAGAGGCTCAGCTTAAATGAATGAGCTCCCACCAAGGTGTCTTACATCTCTTTCACAAACAGCTCGCTCTTTCCCACAGTCAGAACCAAGATGAGACAGCTGCACTTATCAGCTGGTCTTGAGTGCAGGCTACACTGGGCTTAGGGAGGGCACTGCCCAGGCTCTGACACATTGCCCTGGTTCTTCTGTTCAGCCAGTTCATTCCTGAAGGAAAACCATAATCTCCTTGTTGATTTGAGGGAAAGTTGTTTCAACATCACTTATTTCTGAATTTATAGCACTAGATGCTTTTCGTCTGTGGAGTAGAGTCTTGGCTGTACTGTCAGATCAG